AAACTCCGTTAAATTCTTTGAAAAAGGTTTTATAAACCATTTCAAATTATAATTGCCAAAATCATGTTTATATATGTATAAATATATAAATAAGATTTGAAGCGCTTAGGACTAATGAATTATCTTATTTCCTTTTCCTTGTTTGGATGTGGAATTAAGGTGGTGTTATTTGTCCGAAGGTCGTTTCCTTCTTAATTATATATATATATATATATATATATATATATATATATATATATATATATTATACATATATGAATATAAAAGGTTACTTCATTCGGTATCATTACCTTTGTATCATGCTGAGCAAAGGTGTTCATCCATGAGAAATCATGCTAATCAGATAGAACATATAAATTATAATATGTGTAATTTATGATTCAAAACTAAATATACAAGTATGATTCACATTCCAAGGAAAGTACCAACAATTCATTTACCTATACCAGGATATGTATAATACTTTTAGTATATGGATAATGTATTAAAGAAGTAATAATACATCATACCGGGTTTGCATTAACAAGGGTACAATACAGAGTATTAGGGTTAGCAATCACGGGGTAATAATACATCACGTCGGGTTTGCATTAACAAGGGTACAATACAGAGTACCAGGGTTAGCAATCACGGGGTAATAATACATCATGTCGGGTTTGCATTAACAAGGGTACAATACAACGTACCAGGGTTAGCAATCACGGGGTAATAATACATCATGTCGGGTTTGCATTAACAAGGGTACAATACAACGTACCAGGGTTAGCAATCATGGGGTAATAATACATCGTAAATCACGTTGAAACAATAAATTTGTGAGACTCTTCATGGTGTACTTATCTAAGTACGACCTTAAGTCCTGACTTATTAACCAGAATCTCCTGTAGGGAAGGCGTGAATTTGTGTATAGATCTATATGGTACTGACAATCCCGCACCTTCACTGTTCGCTACAGTTTGGCCGGCAGGCCCAGGGTGTCAAATATCATATCGTTTCCGACGCCTGAAGAACGTCGCATCAGGCACATCAGTCATATTAGTATGGTTAATAGAACTCACATGGATAAAACAACGAGTAAATTACTAAGTAATATACTTCTCTTAAAACAGTAACAAAAGATAATTACATCCTGACCAAATATACCTTCTGTTAGTTTTTACTTACAGTAAAAACTACGTATCATGAAATCAAGTATGGCAAATATACTTGTACTTCTGGTTTTGGAACATTTAAAACCACAAAGCAGTATTATGGATAATATAATATTTTCCAGGATTAATACTAACGTTTTACTATAGAACGGATATAACGAATAATACTTTCACAAATGAAACGGTTTATGGGATTAAACTGCTTTTACAAAAGAAACGGTGTATGGGATTAAACTACTTTTACAAATGAAACGGTTTATGGGATTAAACCACTTTTACAAATGAAACGGTTTATGGGATTAAACTACTTTTACAAATGAAACGGTTTATGGGACTAAACTACTTTTACAATTGGAACTTAGTCATTCACTCTCTGTAAACTAGTATAACATAAAGGACCTTTAGTGGTTAATTCTATAATTCCTTAGTTTTTACATCAGAGTTATACATAAGTAATATCCGATTGACAGTGAAATGTGTGACTTCCGCCTTACTTCCTGTTCCTTTTTTGGTTGTGGACTTAGGGCAGATACACCCATTTAACTGTCCATTCGATATTAGGTTATATATAATTAGTATAAACTAAGTAATTGCAGAGGGAACTATTGAGGTTATCAGTTTATCACCTCAGGAAATATAGGATTTTCTGGAGGAACCAGCGAACTTTTCCAAGAACTTAGAGTACACTTATAGAACTAAAATACTTATGAACTCACCAGCTTAAATGTTGATCTACTCTTTCAAAATAACTTGTATTCTTAGGAATCCAGTAGACAGGTACACTCCTGAAGCTTTTGAGAAGACTACCTAGTACCGTACCGTGACTCTTGTCTTCTACTGTACCTACTTTAGTGTTTGAATATGTAATGTTTAAACGCTTATGTAAAACTTATACTTATTAATGCAATTGTTGTTTGTACTTTGATTACTATATTGCATGTGTTGTGATACTTACCTGAAGTCCTCCGCCCCCTTTCCGCCGTTCTGGTTTGGGGGTGTGACAAATTGAGCCAACTCGTCGAGTCATATGAACAACTCGTTGAGTTCTTGAGAAGAATGACGATTTTGCTCTCTTCTCCTTTGGACAATTCACAATTGAATCAAATTCAACTGAAAAACATCCTAGGCTCTGATACCACTGATGGGTTTTGAGCATAACTACAACCTATGTGTTCATGCAACCCTAATTGCTTTGGATCTAAGTTTTTCACTAGTTGAACATGCAAATTGAATACCAAAGCAAAACCCTAGATCTAGCATATATATATATATATATAAAAATCAAAATCTACATATAATTAGGGTTTAGAAGTTTACCTCACTTGTTATGTAGCAATAACAAGAAACCTTGTAGATCCTAGACTTTTGAAAGAAAGTGCCTCAAATGATGCACCTATAATGACTCACAAACACTACTAACAGAAGGATGAGAGGAGAGAGGAGGGCATACTCTTAGAATTTCTGCTAGGATTTGTAGCAACAATGCATTTTCCAAAAATCCTATGGGGTGGGGTCTTTATATAGCTGAGGGTTGCTAGGGTTTGCTGGAGGACACCCTAATTTCCTGCTTAAGGCTTCAGCAGCCCATGGACCCTTATTAAGAAACCTTGGACAAAATTAAGGAGTCCAATAGCCCAGTTTCACAACTATCAATGATTTGCAAAACAACCCCTGTTCCTTTAATCAGCTCCGTTAATCCCGAAATTAATTCCAAATTAATTTATGATTAAATACTAATTAAATAACATGATTTCTAATTAATATATTATTCTCATATTACATTAATAAATCAATTATCAACCTCTCTCTCCAAAAATCATCTTGTCGAGTTGCTAGAGTGAAGGCAAACCAAAATGACCATGCTACTATCAAATCAAGTACATACCAAAAATAGTTATGTGCTTAGACACCTAATCCAACAAAAACTCGATTAGGAGGTTTTGAGATGAAGACCGAATTCTCGTATTTCTTTGGACCGAATCCTTTCTTTGGACTGTAACGCCCGCAGATTCGGGATAGTCAATTTAGAGACAATAAGCGTCAAAAATAACTTTTTGATAGAAGATTATTTAGACTAAATAATCTTAACCAATTTATAGTATATGTCAAAAGGGTTCCGTACATATAAAGAACGCCGAAATCCGAGTTATAACGAAGAAGTTATGACTTATCGAAGTTTTACGGATAAACCAGCACGGCACCGCGTAACGTAAAAAGTGAATTTTTGATGAATTAATTTTTAGCCTTAACAATATAAACAAAAGTCTTAGTATACATTAAACCGAGAATGTGCATCAAAAGAACGTCCAAATCTGACTTCGTATGAGGAAGTTATGATTTTTCTAAGATTTAGCATAGCAGTGCACAGCCTGGAATTCGAATTTTAGATCGATCAAATTTTGGCTGATGCAACCTAAATGAGAATTGAAGATCTCATTAATAAGAGTTCAACGATAAAAAGACAGACGAAAACGAAGTCCGTATGTAGAAGTTATGAATTTTACACGGTCATTTAAAAGTGTAATCTTCTCATACTGTTAAATTTAAAATCGGTCAAAAATTAGCCAACGGAGTCAAAAGGAGAGTTGTAGATCTTGTCAATACCTACGTGTGTATATAAATAACGTCGAAAACGGAGCTCGTATGCGAACGTTACGAGGTTTAGAAGTTGGCAGGGTGCTGCTGCGAATAGGGTGACGTGGCTGAATCTGGGCCATTGCTTTCTCCCCAAGCCTTGCCACCAGAGGGTGACATGTGGCACCAACTCGACGAGTTGAGCATTATTTCACCCTATAAATACCTTGCGAAGGTGCCTTCATTTCTCACACCTTCCACTCTTTCTTTCTCACTCTAACTTCTCTCTAAACCTCCCAAAACACTTGTAAGCCCTAGGAAACTCCCCTAGCGCTAGAAGAAAGCCCCGGAGCGCCCAAAGGCTCCGAGAAAATGAGCTTTTCGGCTCGGAAGTTCTGCCCCGCAGAGCCCGGTTCCTCACTAAACCCCCTGTAAGTTGAGTTATGCTTACCGTACTTTAAGTATAACTTATGTTTAAGTTCATTATCGTTATTATGAACCTATAAACAAGATTTATCAGTGATTCCAAGTCATTATACTGATTGATCTACTTACGGGGATGATGTCTAGGTTGTGATTTAGTGAGGTTTTTAAAGTGGGATTTCCAAACAGTATACTTCGTATACCAAACGACCCTACCTCCGATATGATCCTACCTGATTGTTTCTTACTTGATAGATCATGAAAGTAGACTTTGAGTTAATGATGAATCTAGACTAATAATTAGTCGCAATAAAGATTAGCCTAAAACTTAGCCATAATAATGCTAGGTTTCGTCGAAGGAAAATAGAATCGTTAGAAGCAAAGAGCTGCCCGAGTTTGGAATCATCACTTCAACAAGTGAGTGCACTACTAGAAAAACAGCCTTTTACGACGCGCAATGTGTGTCATAAAACGTTCAGACGATGCGCAAATGTGTGTCAAGGAAGGCCCTGTCATAACGAGAGACGACACGCTTTTGCGCGTCGTCTATAGACGACACGCATTTACAACGCGCAATGCGTATCAAGGAAGCCCCTGTCATAAAGGAAGACGACACGCATTTGCGTGTCGTAATCTTACGACGCACATTTAGGACACGCATTGCATATCATTAAAGCCTCTGTCATAAATGAAGATGACACGCATTTTCATGTCATAAACTTCAGCAACTATTTACGATATATATTTACGACGCATCTTTACGATACTCATTTACGCATAATACAAAAATATTGAAACAAATATATACCAAAACAATCAATTTCATCCATAATATCATGTCAAAAAATTGTAATACATTGCTATTAAGGGGGTCTGATTGTACATTGTTATCAAGAGGTTTTCCATAACTATATAACCTAATACTACATTGATATTAAAAGGCACCTTCTTGTTTCTAATATCATGTCAAAAAAAATCCTCCATATCATTGGTTTGCCACCTAGTGTACTGGACTGCTGTCCATCGGGCATGGATGGCAAGTAATGACTTGAACATTAGCTGAAACAAAAAAGCTTTTATTAATCACACAATCATGTTTAGCTACATGATAGAGTTGTTATATAAATGTTATTAACTAATTTGATCAGATCAACATAAGATATAACAAGTTGACTAGCTATGAAAAATGCTAATTTGGTCCAAAAGCGTAGCAGATTAAGTCTTGTCCACATTTAGTCTATTAAGTATAAAAAAGAAACTAGACCAAAGAGAACATTAGCTATGAAAAATTCTAAATTTGTCCAAAAGCATAGCAGATTAAGTCATGACACCATTAAGTCCTCCATTAAGTAAAAAAGAAACAGTAGATTATGCATTCTTAAAAGAACATACAGTGATATTTTGTGGATAAGATCTGGTGAGTTCACGGAATTGGCATACACTAATTTTTAACTACGTGAGAGAGTCCCCCACCTACTTACCAAACTTGATGGGATGATGGATATTCCAAATGAATTGAGCCCCCGAATTTATGTTAAATGTATACCCTCACACCTAAATACATGAAATTTAAAGTATTAGTATTATTTATAAAGAATTTTTATATTGTAAAAAAATGAAATAAAGAATTGATGATGATCCTTGGGATAAAATGCTTACCTTTCCGATTTCTCGCCGATTTGGTATCACAACATTATATCCTACCTAAGGAAAAGCAACTTATCAGGGGTAGAATCGTAAAGATATCTAATCCAACCATTTGAAACTCATTGTCCATCACTGTTTCATCCTCAACGAGCACAACATCACCAACCTGTTCACATGATTTACATAAACAACTGAATTTTCTTATAATTTTTGTTTGTGTCAGCAACTATCCAATAACTTTGTGCAATAAAAACAAAAACAAATTGATGAATCCTTTTGAGTCAACAACTATAATAATTGATAATGCAATAAAAAAATAAAATAAATAAATAAATAAAACTATAAAAGCTCACGAAGCCATCATTTTGAGTCAGCAACTATCCAATAACTTTGTGCCTCACTTCGTGGTCCTGCATCTTTACGAGTCTCTCCACCACTAAACAGCAACAAGGCATCATCATATTTGGTTGCAATCTCAATTCCCTCCTTTATATGTGTAACGAACATAAAAGATACAAAATTAACCTTAAAAACATATAAAGGTAAAAAATTCAAATTTTCTATTTATTTAGCACACCAATAACTATAAAATACCTTCAAATCAATGATTTCAATTTTTCCTTCAATAGGCCATGAGGGCGGGGGATGGTTTCCTTCAATGATTCGGGTACCAGAAAGGATATGAAAATTCAGCAGCACTGACATGTGTGTGAGTAGTTTAAGATCTTAAAAAACTAAATATAAAACCATTTTATAAAATAATTATGTTAATAAAAGTTTTTGATATTTAACCTTTTTATACAAAGCTGGAAGACCTGACTCCTCAAATGGAAGATATACGGTCAACAGGACATACATGATGACTCCACATGACCAGATATCAGCAGCTCCATCATCATATCCACTTTTTCTTAAAACCTAAAAGTCAACCATGGTCAAAGCATAGGAATTAGAAGAAAACTGCTTATTAAAATTTGATATTGTTTTGGCGAACCTCTATTGTAATGTAATTTGGGGTTCCACAAGTACTGTGAAAAAGATTTGGAAAATAATTATATGCTTACTTCTTGTGGGAGTGCACTGAGTCCAAAATCTGAAACTTTTAGCCTTTCTTTGGAATCAAGAAGGTGATTTTCAGGCTATATGTATATTACAAGAACACTGTTAATAGAAAATAAAACATTTACTATAAAAATCATTACACCTTAAATGATCTGATTATTCTTAAAACTTTGTGTCTCTTACCTTTAAATCCCTATGATATACACCCTTGGAATGACAATGGGCAACTGCATCAATAAGATGTTGAAAGTATCCCCTGGCTTCCTTCTCTGGGAGCTTTCGTTTTTGAACCTGTCAATCAATGGAAGGGTCACGAGGGTAGTTTAGGTATTTTATGTATCAAATAGTACTTCTATCAAAAAGTAGAGCTTACAATTCTGTCAAAAAGCTCTCCTCCAGTGACAAATTTCAGTATATATATATATATATATATATATATATATATATATATATATCTTTGTATGGCTTGCAAAGGAGTTCCAGTCAAAAGCAATCTGTGAGAGCTATTATAATGCTTCAACTCAGCATTTAACTTGCAAGAAAGCATTTTTTATACGATGCCCTTCATCAGTTATAATATAATGCCAATGTATCTTGCTCAGTTTTGGCCTATCATGCTTGTTCATGAGATACTCATAGGTTGTCAAAAGAACATTGAACTTTTGTTGAACTATCTTTTCCTTGCAGTGATGCAAATACTGTTTTAGACGACCAAAAAAGATGGAGAAATGAAATCACATCAACTTTTCTTTACATTGTTGTCTTCTGATGTTTCTCATTTTGATGTTGAGACCAGTAAGCATGTGCCTGCCAATTTAACATCACGCCATCTGCAAATTTTTTACAAACAAATATTAGAAATGATAATAATAATAATAAATAAATAACTTTTTATTTTTTTTTTAAATGTAAAAAAAAACACAGACCTTCCAGCTCCAAGGGTCTCAACAGCTTCCACAAGCGCTTCTCCTTCAGACACTGAAAAAGGTCTCCTGGTTCACTCAAAGGGACAATTGAGTGTATCTCAGGATCTACAACCACAAGAGCTTTTGAATCTGCCACTTGTTCTCCTCCTTCTTCTTCACTTATTGCATTCACATGTTCTACTTCATTCTTCTCCAACACGGGACTAGAAGGTATCAATAATGGAGTTTCTTTCTGTATAGGAGATGGAGATGGAGATGGAGAAGAAGGCTCAGGTAAAGTAGGCTCCAATGTGAATCCTAAAGATTCAAGATTACATTTTTGGGAAATCCCTGTTTGTTCTAATGTTCTGTTGTCATCTCTAACTTTCTTGTCTTGAACAAGTACCCCTACATGTAATTGACCTTGTAGAATAGCTGTAATAGCCTCCATCACACTCCTCTAAAAGATATAATTTGCATAACATAATATATTATATGATTAGATCATATGAATATAGAATTTGACAAAAAGATACTCAAAACTTGACTAATTTCATTAACATACCTTAAGTGAACCCACAGTTGCAGTCTCAGGTACCTCAACGTATAATTCTGGCACTTTAAACGACTTTATACTAAATTTCACTAAAACCAACAAAAATCATATGTATCAGAGACTTGTTAATTATAAAACCTAACATAATATTCAAGAGAAAGAGAGAGAGAAATACCATAAGTATCTTTAGTGTTTGCAGGTTTTGAGCAATGATGGAAAGACTTCCTCCTCTTAGATGCTTTATCTGCTTGATATTGTTCTCTCATGTATATATTTTTCCTTTTATGGTAAAAGGACCTAACTTCACTACCTAAAACAGCAAACCAAATAACTTAAATTCTGTATAAAACATCAAAATATGTAATTTACTAGAATGGAATATTATTGTTATTACCATAATCCTTGGGTTTTGGAGCTACTTTACGATACCTAGAAGTCAACATATTCCTTATTCTTTTGTATCCATCACATGATCTTGACCCAAACGCCCTCCTTTTACTATTATAATGATTATACCTAAAATAACTTTCATCATCATCTCTAATATCTATCTTCATATTGCCTCTATTATGCTTGTGAACATGATCACTATAGAAGGATAGATGTACCCTACTAGAATATTTCTTTAATACATGATTATTTACACATGATTCCATTTCCACCTCATCCTTTAACCCATACGTCTTAACTGCACTTAATGCTTCTAGATTGGTGGGTTGACTAGCTAGTTGACTCTCTATAAGAGTCTCATTAACTATGTTTTTGTCTTCAGAAGCTTCCATTCCCAAATTAGTATCGATTTTCTGTACGACATCACAAGTTGTAAAAACAGAAGCGCGTTCTAAACCAGAATCATTGTGTTTTCTATATATACTTTGCCCAAGATAAAACTAGTAAGCAAAAAAAAATGATTTTAAAGGAGCCTCATACTACCTGAACAGTTTTCCCCAGGCCCATTTCATCTGCTAGAATTCCATTCAAATGGTTGTTGTATAGTGACAGTAACCATCGTAATCCGTTCATCTGATACCTAAAGACAAACAATATATATATATATATATATATATATATATATATATATATATATATATATATATATAATTGCTATAGTTCGTCAGTAAGATTTACAACCTTATTTTTGTTTTATAAATTAGGGCAAATTTCAAGAGATAGAAACATACTTCACTTGTTTGCAGTGGTGATAGAACTCCAAAGCAAAAGGTGAAGTTGAAGGACTTGTTAGATGCTACACGTAATTTGTGTATCATATCAGTTTTGACCTTGTCTTTTTCAAGCATCCACTGCAAGGTTATAACTCCTTTGCAAGGTTATAACTCCTTTTATTTGGTTGCTTGCTTTCCGCATTGTCAATGATCACATCTGAACAGGTGAATTCATGTCTCACAATAACACATAAAAGAACAATACATGTAATCTACCTCAATGTTATTGCTATTGTACATGTGTAGTTCCTTGCTCAAAATATATAATATAGCATTAAAACACAAGAGTCACTCATTGGGGCATTTTATCAAACAGTTGGTGTTCACCACAAAGTATCCCTAAACGGGCAGTGATTAATTATTCAAAGATTACCAGGTTGCTGTCTTATATAGTAACAAAGCAACCAAAAATAACAAGCAGTAGCCCGACTTGTAGGAGCGTAGAGAAATAAAACATCAATTGTGTTTAGAAGATTCAAAAGATTTACAAACAGCGTAATTCAGAAAAAAAAAAAGTGTTTACTGATGACTATACTAAGATTTGATTACTCACCTGTATATATAAATGCCTGATGGTTCCATCATTGGCAGTGGGTAACAAGTTCACGACATCAACCACTCTGTAGTCATGAAACCTTGCGGTGAGATTCTTGAGGGTTTCAACGACCCTTGTAGGCTCGAGAGTAACCAAGTCGTAGGGTTGTGTTACCATACCAGGAATCCATAGCCAAGCTGGGTGAAGGAATAAGACGATTTAATAAGATAACTCTAAAATAGGAGAGAGAAACCTAAATTCCCTTTTAGGTTTTGAAAACGTGAATTCAAGGAGAGGAGGAAACCTTGTTGGGCTTAGAATCCCTAGTTCTTCGTCATAGAGCCCTCAATCGTAATGATTTTGTAAGGTCTATTTTTTGGAGCAAAAAACCCTCAATCTCAACAGTCTTGTTCCGCCTTAAGATTTGACGAAGGTGAAAGCTAAACTCCATCATCTCCAAACGATTCCATACGATTTCAACCCTTTGTAATAGCCTCTTCAGTTGTTCTATTATGTCTCGTACCCGTCGATCACCACTAAAAACCCTAGCACGTACTAAGTCGATAGAAAAATGAGAGAATCGGGATTTTAGAAGAAAATAAAAGACCTCCCGCTACCTACTAAGAAGGAAGACGCACGTTAGGGTTCTTCGTCTGTGTGTTGTTTTGATTTATCTATGGGAAATCATAAACAAACGAGAATCAAGCTTTGCATTCCACACTTCATAGCGATAACTCATGGAATTCACAGATCTTCGTTAAGCCAAACCATGGAAAAGAGAAAAGTAGAAACGAAGGAAGATGAGAACAAGGCGGGCGGGGTTTTCTAATTTTTGGGGACTTCGTTCCCGCTTAGCTATTAAAGGTCGGAAAACGCGCGTTCCATTAAAATTTATAAAGCCACATCCTTACACGACACACATTTTATCAAAGGTGCCCTCCGTGTTTTTTTCTTTTTTTAATTAGACACTAATTTAAGGGCACGAAATAATACGTGACCTAAATTCTTAAGGGCATGTTTGGTAAGGGGTGATTAAGACAGGAAAGGAATAAAGCATTCAAATGGAATGGCAAGACGTGTGTTTGGTTGGAGTAAGGAAAGGATATCTCCATTCAAAAGGGAATCACATTCCCCCTGAACACGCTGTTTTCATTCAAGGGGGTACCCCTGATTTTTTTTCATTCCATTCAAGCGCTATTACACATCTTCCCATTTTGCCCCTAATATCTATCATGAACGCAGAAAAATCAGCTAGATATCAATTGATTTCCCTCCAAATCGGAAACAAATTAGCAACCACAATCTCCAAAATCGCATAAAATCAGCCACGTATGGCAGCAGATCGTCTCTTTATAGGGCTTCATTCGACCATTCTTAGTACTGGTAATCCCCTTTTTAAGATTTCTTTCAAGTTGATCTGAAGTTATACTCATCAAGAAACGTCATTTGTGAAGGTTAGCATCTCTCTGCCTTTATTTTTGTTTATCTAATTTCTGAATGTGTTCTATTCATTGCGTGTTCTTCTTTCTGTGTGCCACTGATATCATATAATTAGAGCTGTAAATTATTGTTTGTATGCTGTATAAATCTGATAAGAAAACTTGAATTTTGTAAATGGGGGATGAACATATGTTGTGTATATGGCTGTAGATTTAGATTGAATGGGATATAGGATTAACAAGAATCTTTCTAAACGCTAGAATGTTGTTTCATCCCTTTATTCAGGTCAAATCATTAAAACTTTTTTTAGCTGTCGTTCTAAAAAGAAAATCATAAAAACTTTACATTCCAACCATATAGCTCTTTGTATTTCATATAGACCCTAAAAACGAAGAGTTCTACACCCATCTTCAGATTCCAAGATGGTGTCATTTCAGGGGGTTTTGATGACAGGTCTGGAGAAAAATCTGTCACAAAATATGCATGCAAGAAGAAGATACAATATCCAGGGATATGTAATTTGTTCATGAAAAAAAACAAACAGACACACACACAGTTTCCCACCAGTTTGAAAAATCTGTCACAAAATATGCATGCAAGAAGAAGATACCATATCCAGGGATATGTAATTTGTTCATGAAAAAAAACAAACAGACACACACACAGAGTTTCCCACCAGTTTGACCTGGACAAAAGAAATATGACAAGTTTGATGATAGATTTACCAAAAAAACACATAAAAAAACATAGACCATAAATCCAAACACACGACTAAAGTTTAGTTTGACCTTAAGAAACCATGAGATCTGAGTCACAAAGTCTAGTTTCCATCTGATGATATGCATACATTACATACTACTTCATATATAAAAAATTTCCAAACTCAACTCACCTCAAAAGTCAGAACCTTCTCATGTACTTATTCCCAGGACCGATTATGGTAAAATCAGTTGGGTTCCTGTTTAACAAACACACCAGGGTCCTCCTCTTACCTGGCGTACCCGTAACCACCGGACCCGGATCCTTTGACCCACCCACTCCCACCAAGGGCTGACCCACAACAGTCCGCCCAGTCCCACTTGGCATGTCATATGAACCACACCTTTTTGGATTAGCATCCAGTGCCACCTCAGCTTCAACCATTAATAAATTTTATATGCTTTCAATATTTCATTATTTTACAAAAATTTATTACTATTGCAGTTATGGCTCGCCTTAAAATGAATAGACAAAAAAGAACAAAGAAACTTGTTGCATTTAGTACATTGTGGATTGAAATAATCAGTTTGGTAAATTGGTATTTTCAACTAGTGAGTATTATTATTGCCATACATATATTTATGTGTCCAACTAGACCTCGCTACAAGATGTTATACCCAGAGAGAAAGCAGTATATGCAAAGATTAGTGTACGAAAGTGATGAGACTTGTACACAACAATTAAGAATGAATAGGGTAACGTTTGTTAAGCTTTGTCGTATGGTTGAGATTGATGGCAAGTTAAAGGCCTCTAGGTATCTCCAAATTGACGAACAAGTGGCGATTTTTTTGTATATTTTGGCCCACCATGTGAAAAATCGTGTGGCGAAGTTTCAGTTTCATAGATCAGGAGAGACAATTAGTAAACATTTCAATAATGTACTCAATGCTGTTATTCGGTTGGAAAAAGAATTGTTTAAGAAACCCGAGCCTATATTAGAAACTTCAACTGATGAAAGATGGAAATGGTTCAAGGTATGTGATTTGCTAAACTCGAGTGTATATAGATTATTCTTGGTTAGTATTCTAATTCTCATACATATTTAATTTTGGCTATAGGGATGTTTAGGAGCAATAGATGGGACACACATAAGTGTACATGTACCAGAGGCAGACAAACCTAGATACAGAAATCGAAAATGCGAAATTACAACGAATGTACTTGCTGCTTGCACTCCTGATATGCAATTCATTTATGTATTACCAGGCTGGGAAGGATCTGTTGCAGATGGTAGAATACTACGTAGTGCAATGCTTCGAGAAAATGGATTACAAGTTAGTAAAGGCAACTATTATCTTGTTGATGTCGGGTACACGAATGGAGAAGGATTCCTCGCACTATTCAGAGGTCAAAGATATCATTTGAATACTTGGTTGAATGGTCATCGTCCAGAAAAGGCAGAGGAATATTTTAACATGAAGCACTCAGCTGCAAGGAATGTCATAGAACGTTGCTTTGGGGTATTAAAAAAAAGATGGGCTATACTTAGAAGTCCATCATTTTATCCCATTCGGACACAAAATAAAATTATCCTTGCTTGTTGCCTTCTACATAACTTTATACGAAAGGAATTGCCACATGATCCACTTGACGATGATGACATTATTGACACAATCAACGATGAGGAGGATACAAATCTTGGATCACAAGTCGAGCACATAACAACAATTGGAACATCGAATGAATGGACGGCTTTTAGAGAAAACTTCGCTAACTCAATGTTTAATTCTTGGAGATCTAGGCATAACTGATTTCTTATTGTTGCATTAAGTACATTGTGATACATTTTTATGGAATTTTAGTAATAAAGTGTTTTCAGTTGTGTTTGATAGTGACTTGTTATATATTTAGTTAATGTTTCTATAGTTCTTTATGTATCTTTTTTTTTAATTGTCAAGGTATGGAGTCACAAATTCATGGTGATAGGGGACCAGGAAAAAATAAAAGGAAGTGAAATGATATAGAAGACGAGAAACTTGTTGAAGCTATGGTTGATATACTCAATTCAGGTTCTCACTTTAAATCTGACAATGGTTTTAAGCCTGGGTTCTTTGGTGCGGTGGAAACACGACTTGCAGTCTCACTTCCCAACTCGGGAATAAAAGCAAAACCACATATTGAATCACGCATAAAAACTTTGAAGAGTGATTGGTCTGCGGTGCATGATATGATGTCATGGAACAACACAAGTGGTTTTGGATGGGATTATGAAAATAAGATGCTTGAAGCTCCTCAATCTGTTTGGCAAGCATATGCTCTGGTAATGTTTTTAATTGAATGATTTAAAACTATTTTTTAAGTATTTTTAGCATAATGTATTATTTATTTATTTTTGGATTTTTTTTAGGTACATAAGAATGCTGCAAAATGGAGAGGCAAAAAGTTTCCTCATTATTGGGACCTATGTCTTGTATTTGGGAAGGATCGTGCTAATGGAAGAGATGCTCAAACAGCAACGAATGTTATATCTTAGATAAATAACGAACAACAGGATCCAGACGATTACATGCAAGGAACTGGAGATGGGTTAGAGGATATAGATGTTGATGCTCCTGTGAGTAGTCCTACATATGCTCATTCTAAAGAAGATTTGAGTACACAACGAAAGAGAAAAAGAAGAAATAGTTGGGATCCTTTGATGAACAGCTTGAAAGATTCGGCAGATATAATTGGTTCAAAGATTGATAACGCAACAAGTACCTTTAATGCGGTTTTTGGGATCGAGAGAGATAGAGAAGACCTACGTAAAAAACTTAATTCTGAGATGAAAAAAGTTGTTGGTTTAACTGTCCGTGATTGTAACAAGGCAGTTTGTATGCTTTCAAAGAATGATGAGTTGATGGTAATCTTCTTTACCGTTGAGGATGAAGACAAATTTGAATGGGTAAAGGACTTGCTTGAAGATGATGCTTAACGTTATTTATATGTTTTTTTATAATATTGCAGTTTTTTAAGTTATGAAAATTATGATAATTTTAGTTTGTTAGTGTTGGCTAGACTTTAATATGTTTTTATGAGATAAAGTTTTTTATTATAAATAAAAGTTCTTATTTATATAAACCATTTAGAATAGAAACTATAATTTCCAAATAGATAATGTTGAATTTTATTGAATTCTATGAATTTTGTGTTGTAAGGGTATTTTTGTCATTGTAAATTATTTTTATTCCATTACTTTCTCTTTTTTGTACATACCAAACAACATGGATGAATGAGTCATTCCATTCCATCAACTAACCAAACGTGACAATGGAAGGGTAATGAAACATTCCATTACCTCATCCATTCCATTACTTAGTCAATTCCATTCCTTTGTCATTCCATTCCACCCAACCAAACACACCCTAAATTTTTTTAAGAGATGACACTTTTTTAATGTCACACTCTTTTGCGTAACATAAATCAAGGAGTGTCGTGGTTTGCGCGTCGTAAAAGGGTCTTTTTTCTTGTAGTGGTGCATAGTCACTTTCATGAACATGATTTTAATACAAGTATCGAATAATGTATTAAATATCTTTTGGTGTGTGATATTTGATATTGCCTGAAATACGTGTTAAGAGCATATCTGAAAAATATATGATGATACAGAGTAAACCTAAATTAATTAAAGGGAATATTGGGTAGTATATCTTTATGGGTACGAGTGAGATATATACGGAAAGTCGAACTTTAAAACTTGTCATTGATCCGAGAGCGTGGATTAGACTTAGTCATTTGTCCTTGGTCTGAGAGTATGGAGAGGACATAGTTATTTGTCATTAATCCGGGAGCATAAATTAGACATAGTCAATTGTCCCTAGTCCGAGAGTATGGAATGGGCATAATTATTGATCCGGGAGTATGGATCAGACATACCTGATCCGGGAGTATGGATCAGGTAAGGAAGTTAGTTTTATATCTGGGAGTATGGATCGGGTAAAGAGGTTAGTTTTAGATCCCGGAGTATGGATCAGGTAAAGGGGTTAGTTTTAGATCCGGGAGTATGGATTAAGTAAAGTGGTAAATTTTAAGGTCCGAGAGTATGGATAGTTTTGTTGTAAGGATTGACGGGGTGGGGTAAGAGTTGCTTATATATGGTGAAATTGTATATTTTGTGAGTTCAAAATTATATATATGATATAAAATTGCGGGATTGAAATCCCTATGTACTCACCAGGTTTCCCAACCTGACCCACTCAGTTTATTTGTATCACAGGTGTCGATATAAAGCTACATTACACCGAGAGATTAAGGAGATGTAGATCACTAGTATAAATGAATGTAAGTTCTGTTTATGTTTATGTTTCTGTATCTACGATGACATCCCAAAGTTTTAAAAAGAATAAAATGCATTTCTTCGGAAATTCTTTGATAACGTAATTATCATGTTTTTTTGGGAACAAATTCCGCAACACTTTTTTTTAAATGGTTACTCTTATTGGAAAATAAAGCATAAACAAATCGGTCTTTCCTGGCCGTGAAAATGGGGATGTCACATGGATCGAGTCCGACGATAAACCACCCAAATCAAACACAACAATTTCTAATTAAGGACTGAGTCCCCCCTTCTAACTGGGCTGGCAACAATATCAAACAACCCCCAATTCGTTGAGTTACTGAGTTTTAGTAAAAAGGCAAAACAAAAACCAAATTTAAAAAAATTGACAAAAAACCGCAAAAAAAAAACCGAAGCACAAAACACCGCGAAAAACGTACCACATAAAAACCGAACGGTGCGGTTTTTAAACTTTAAAAACCCGAAGTTGCGGTTTTTGGTTCAGTTGTGGCCGAAAACCGCACCAAACCGCACCATGCTCATCCCTAGCGGGGCCTGATGAGTGTGTTGGGCGGGGCCCATCGCATGTTGCTGACAGATCTGTATCGGGCAGGGCCCGATGCCGGGTGGGGTCCGATGAAGGTCGTGTGGGGCCCGACGAATATCGGGTGAGGCCCAATGCCGGGCGGGGCCTGATGGATACCGGGCAGAGCCCGATGTTTGTATATATGTATGGTATGTAGTATTTTTGGGAACTCAGTAAACTTTGTGCTTAAAGTTTTATGGTTATGGTTTTAGGTACTTCCAATTCAAGAGGGAAGGGATCAGCTTGATCGCAATGCATCCACCCATGTTTTCGCACTTTATTATTTTGGGAATTGTACTCTGATAATTATTTTACTTTGATGTACTTCTGATTGGTTGATAAGAATAAATGATGTTTTGTGTTGAATTAAAAATGAAAATTTTAGCTTATAATTTTCGGGACGTTACAAGTTGGTATCAGAGACTTGGTTTGAGAGATTCAGGCACACTATCGGGTGTGACAGAACTCAAACTAAGGAGTTGGTAGTATTTAAAAAAAAACAAATTTCTAAAAAGAATTTTGTAAAGAAAAATGGGGGTGTGA